CGGCAGCGCCGGCCGTGCCCTGTGGCCCTTCGGGACGAGGGGGAAGGGGTGTCCTCGGCACCCTAACACGGAGCTGTGGGGAACTCTCCGTGGGCTGCGTGGAGCATGCGAGGCTGCTCGCTCCCACGCGCCTGGCGGTCCAGGAGCAGAGGAGCTGGCTAGAGAGCAGCCAGCATCCCCAGGAGAGCAGCGCTGGATAGGTGATGAGGGCCCGGAGATGCCAGCAGAGCCCGAGCACGGGCGTGCCACGCACGAGAGACCTCATCCATGGACAGCCAAACACACGGCTTGGAGGGACAGCCCAGGTAGTCCGCAACAGCAAACATTTCACATTCAGGGGTGCCTTCAGCAGATTGTTATAGCACAGTGTAAGTGAGCGAGGCCATTAACAAGCACGCTGACACCACTTCAGAATTACATCTCAGAGATCTGGAAAACCTGGCATAGAGCAAAAGACTGGGTGAAGTTTCTCAAAAAAAAAAAAAAAGTATGGCCAGATCATAGTCTACAAGTACCTGCCTGAGAGATGGGAGTATTTCTTGCAGTAGGAGTCTCTGTTCTGAAAGAAATAAATAAGGACATCTAACAAAAGGGGAAAAAAAAACAATCTGGAAGTATTTTTGGAGGGAGGAACAATGAGCTTTCTGAAGTATTTAGGAGATGAAGAGGAATCTGAGCGTTTTGCCCAACCTCTGCTATAAGACAGAGTCATACATAGGTCACTGTGTCAGATGTCCATCTAACCTGACCACTCACCAGCTCCCTACATTTTGGGGAAGTCCCTCTCAGAGCATCCTTCCATTTTGATATAAACTCACTATCCTGGGCATGGTTATCCCACATCTTTTGCTCTTGCCCTGGATTAGCTTCATCTACATCACTTTCCCTGACTTATGACAGCATCATGCAAGATGGTGCCAGAAGCCTAACTATAGTCGTTATCTCACATCTAATAGTTCCATCCTATCCATAAGGCCAATTACCCTGTTAGCAAAGGGAATTAGATCAACTCAGCACCAATTTTTCCTTGTCAGACCCCCTCCTAAACCATGTATTTGTCATCAGGCTGCTTCTGCTATAGCTTTGGCTGTGAAGATGGAGAAGCTACCAGGGGTGTTGAACACTGCACCCCTTCAGAGTGCTGTCATAGTTTTGATCTGCTGGAGAAGCTCATGGCAGAGCATCAGGGATCCCACTGTTGGGCAAAAAGGGGTAAGTGAGTCTTGGGGATTTGCAAGCTATGTCTCAGTTTTGGGGTCATGGTTGGCAGGCTAAAGGATAGGATGGCAGCTTAAGCTGACATACATATCCCTTTGTCACTCACTGCTCCATTCACTTCCCACCAGGGACAATATTGGCCATCATATTAGGATAGAAGAGGTCTCCCATCCTCTGCCACTGGGATTTGTTTCTCACCTGCTGCCAACAATACTCATATTCAGGAGTTTCACCTCCAGCATCCACCCATCTGCTTCCCTCAGAGGCCAGCAGACAACCGCTTTCCAGAGGGGAGGGCAGCTCCTCCTCTGTTATTGCTTCTTCTGCAGACCTGTTTGGTTGTCCAGCTTCTTCTCTTGCACAGTCACCAAGGAGTTGTGGAGCTCCTTGTAGTCATGGGGAAGCCAAGGAGCACACATCTCCTGTACCTCCTCTGCATCTCTGCCGGCAGGCATCTCCAGCATTAAGTGTTATCCCCTTTTGGACTTCCATGATGGAGCAACTTTACATCCTGGAGTCAATTCCCCATCTAGACTTGACCCTCACACCTGTATGTCAAGGGAGCTCTGACAGTGAAACAAAACGATAAGCTAGCAGCAAACCTGTTAGCAAACTCACCAAACAACTCAAATGCTCATCATGAGCTCAGGGGGTTTTCCCTTATTTCTCAGGTCAGTTTCGTTCTTCAAGCCTTTTCCTTTCATATTTATCAGCTCCCAAAGCTGGAGCAGTGACTGCCGCAGCATGCATTACCAGCCCTCCATGGAGCTCTGAGACAGTGGGCTGACAGTGGTAGAAAGTCTAATGTGCTGGTAAGGAATCCAGTTTTTAAAATGTAAGATCTTTAGTATTAACTACTGCGTGATTGACACCATCGAGGAGCAATAAGAAGGTGTCTTGAGTTGGTCCTCAGAGCAAAGTAGCTTCCCAAAATGCCCAGGCAATGAGCATTAGCTTCTCCAGCCGCAGCTGCAGGCCCTGCACTTTGTCAACACAGTAGGAGCAGCGGCGGTGAGGATCTTGATAAGAAACTTTGCTCCTTTCGGTTAGAGGATTAAATCAGTAACACTACAGTCATACCGCCCGTCCGGAATCCAGGATGTCTGAACTGTCACCTAACTTTTCAGCTGCTGCTTACCAGGAAGGGGTGGATGTAACCAGCTGTTTATCCCCAGCTCTCGTGCTGCTCTCGTGCTGCTCTCAGCGACCGAGAGTCACCAGCCTTCCAGACACGGCCCCACCATGTCACACACATTAGGCCGGTGTCAAAGAGATGGAGTGAGGCCTGTGTGCCCCACTCGTCTCCTTGGCCAGGCTGAGAGGTCACCTCTGAGCTCAGGGGCTGGCTGCTGCCTCAGCTGCATGATGAATAAGATGAATGGCTGGCACGGGTCCTGATGCGCAGAATAGACGCAGGACCCCTGTCAGTCTGCCTCTTGCCCATCTCTGCGCTGGGGCCATCTCCAAGCCCGGAGTCCTCAGCAGCAACCACAGCCTGAGAAGCTCCCAGCCCAGCTAAACACCACACGCCAGGCAGGACCCCTCAGCTGTCCTCTTGGACCAAAGAAAAGCCAAGCAGCCCGTCAGCAGGGAGCTGGACTCCGGCACAGGACAGCCAGGGCTGGCGGTGCTGGGGAGGTGGCCGGGCAGTGATTCACTCCTATATCTTTAAAAAGGAGCAGCTTGCACGGTGCTGCTGGCAGCCCGCGCCCGCACCCAGCCATGGCAGGCCGAGGCAG